TTTTTTTAATGTTGTATAACTTGTATTCAATACTATTACATTATAATTTATTAATTTATTATTTAGATAACTGTCTCTGAATTGTGACCTTACGATGCTGCCAAAGCGCGACCAGGCCTGTCTTTAGAATCTTTTAGAATCTTTTGAATCATTCGTTTCCATGTTTAGCCTCTTCCCTTTCTGTGTGTGCGATTACAACCCCTCAGAGCGGCACAACTTTTGAATTGGCCAGTGATATGAAGTTTGGTAATGGCACTCTTTTTAAACCTTTGTCACGTCATTTTCTCCATTTCTCCGGCGAAAGTGACCGGGCGATCTATCCGGGTGAAGACGGTAGGGGCGATGACAAACCCTTAAGAGGGGCACAACCTTTGAACTGTTGCCAGTTGAAGGTTTAGCTTAGCAATATGACCCTACCGTCTTCACCTGGATAGATCGGCCGGTCATTATCGCTGTATTTGGGGCAATATTCAGTCTGCATACAGCCATAATGATCGGGCGGGCGTTGTGTACGAGTGAAGACGGTAGTGCGAAGTTCGGTGTCACACTTTGATAACTATGGGTGGGTGACCGGTGACCTTACAGCCAGCCGCCCTCGGAACCACATTCTTAAGCCGATATTTTTTTCGGATACATTAGGCCCAATTAGTCTCGACAAAGTAACCGGTGGTGGCCATCCATTGGCCTTATCTTTGGATTGAAAACAGAACACAAAGGACTCGAAGACGTGGGTCTAAAAGGGGTGGGCGGGCTAAATGAGCCTTTGTCGAGAGGTTTCCCCAAAGCATGTGACAAGAACCACGACTCGCGCGTTCATGTAATTTTTACCAATTTCGATAGAGACAAAACCAACAGCCGCTCTGTCGGTATGGTCTCGCTGGCCTTCTTTTTTAGAATCCAAAGACTCGAATTCAAAAAAAATAAAAAGAACTTGTCAGTAAAGAGTACTAAAGACGCTAAAGAGTATATTACTATATTTTAGTAATTTACGACGTGATTATTTATATTCCAGAGTACTTGGTTGTTTCATTTGTGATACATCATCCTGCAGCTTTTTCATCAAAAGTTAACGTGTGTTGTTTGTTCGTTTCGTGTTTCCCTTTTCTTTTTCTGTAATCCACAGATCTACAGATGCGAACTACTTGGGTCATCCTGAGTCGGTGGATGGGAGGATATTCTGGCCTTTCACTACGTACATCGAGTACTCGGACGATCTTTTCACAATGCAAGAAGTGAAAGTGCTTTGGGCTCGACATCGCTGTTCTACACGCTTTGGAAGACCTCTCCAGATGCGAATGGACCCGTACCGATTACTGAACCTGACAACAGCCTTCTGTGATGATTGGACCAGCTGGAATGTTCCCATTATCTGGTTCGTTTCACTTCGTTATCCCCTTACCTTTTTTTTTTTTTTTTTTTTTTTTTTTTTTTTTTTTTTTGTTTTTTTGTTTCCTGCTTTTCGTTTTTCTTTTTCTTTTTTCTTTTTGTCTCCTGGTTCTTTTTTCTTTCTGTCTCCTGGTCGGCGTGTCGTTTTGGCAAGTTACTTTTTTGTTATTCTTTAATTCGTTTTCGTTTTCTTTATTCGTTTTGTCTCCTGGTCGGCGTGTCGTTTTGGCGCCAAGCGCCGGAGTTGACAAAAGGAAGCGGGGTGGCGGGTGCGTCGCAGGCAGACCCCCACCCCCGCCCCCCACACAATGGGTGCGTTCCACCCACCCCTCACACCTGCACCCCACCCCACACACACACACCCACACACCTGCACCTGCCACCCCCCACACACACCCACCCAG